AATATATATTGCATTGAACATAAGAAAGGAGGAACACTGCAGGAGGCCTGTTGGCCCATACTAGGCAGGTCCTTTACAATTCATCCCACTAACAAAACATTTGCCCAACCCAATTTTCAATGCCACCCAAGAAATAAGCTCTGATGTGAAAGTCCCACTCAAATCCAACCCCTCCACTCATGTACTTATCCAACCTAAATTTGAAACTACCCAAAGTCCCAGCCTCAGTAACCCAACTAGGTAGACTGTTCCACTCATCTACTACCCTATTTCCAAACCAATACTTTCCTATGTCCTTTCTGAATCTAAACTTATCTAATTTAAATCCATTACTGCGGGTTCTCTCTTGGAGAGACATCCTCAAGACCTTATTAATATCCCCTTTATTAATACCTATCTTCCACTTATACACTTCGATCAGGTCTCCCCTCATTCTTTGTCTAACAAGTGAATGTAACTTTAGAGTCTTCAATCTTTCTTCATAAGGAAGATTTCTAATGCTATGTATTAATTTAGTCATCCTACGCTGAATGTTTTCTAACGAATTTATGTCCATTCTGTAATATGGAGACCAGAACTGAGCTGCATAATCTAGGTGAGGCCTTACTAATGATGTATAAAGCTGCAGTATGACCTCTGGACTTCTGTTGCTTACACTTCTTGATATAAATCCCAGTAATCTATTTGCCTTATTACGTACGCTTAGGCATTGCTGTCTTGGTTAAGGTTGCTGCTCATCATAAACCCCCAAGTCCTTTTCGCAATCTGTATGGCTAAGTTCTACATCATTTAACTTATAAGTACTAGGGTTATGGGCACTCCCAAGCTTCAGAACCTTGCATTTATCTACATTGAACTGCATCTGCCACTTTTCTGACCAAGAATAGAGTTTGTGTAAATCCTCCTGAAGTTCCATAACATCTACGTTTGAATCAATTATCCTACCTATCTTGTGTCATTGGCGAATTTGCTCATATCACTAGTAATTCCTCATCAAGATCATTGATATATATTATAAACAACAACGGGCCCAAGACTGATCCCTGTGGAACGCCACTTGTTACAGATCCCCACTCGGATTTAACCCCATTTATGGACACACTGCTTCCTGTCAGTGAGCCATGACTCGATCAACAAGAGCACTTTTCCCCCAATGCCATGAGCTGCCACTTTCTTTAACAGTCTATGGTGTGGAACTCTATCAAAAGCCTTACTAAAATCTAAGTAAATAATATCAAATTCTTTATCATGGTCAACAGCCTCAAAAGCTTTACTGAAGAAAGTTAATAAATTAGTTAGACAAGACCGGCCTCTTGTGAATCCATGCTGAGTATCATTAATCAAGCTATGCTTATCGAGATGGCTTCTTATAATCTCAGCTATAATTGACTAGTAATTTGCCTACAATTGAGGTCAGGCTTATTGGGCGTAATTTGACGGTAACGACTTGTCCCCTGTTTTAAAAATAGGAATTACATTAGCCATCTTCCACATATCAGACACGACACCTGTTTGAAGAGATAAATTAAAAATATTAGTTAATGGTTTCACAGAGTTCCATTTTGCATTCCTTAAGAACCCTTGAAAAAACCTCATCAGGACCCGGTGACTTATTTTGCTTCAATCGGTCTATCTGCTTCACAACCATTTCACTAGTGACTGTGATGTTACATAATTTATCTTCTTCTAGCCCACTATAAAAATTAATTACTGGAATATTGTTAGTGTCTTCCTGTGTAAAAACTGAGAGAAAATAATTATTAAAAATCGAGCACATTTCATTATCTTTGTCAGTAAGGTGCCCATAGGTATTTTTAAGGGGACCTATCTTATCTCAAACTTTTGTTCTATAGACCTGGAAAAAACTTTTTGGGTTAGTTTTAGAATCCCTAGCAACTTTAATTTCATAGTCCCTTTTAGCTTTTCTTATCCCCTTTTTAATGTCCCTCTTAATGTCAATATACTGATTCATAAGATGACCCTCGCCTCTTTTGATACGCCTATAAATTCCTTTCTTATGCCCTAGTAGATATTTGAGCCTATTATTCATCCATTTTGGGTCATTTCTGTTTGATCTAATTTCTTTATATGGGATAAATGTTCTTTGAGCAGCATGTATAGTGTTCAGAAAACTGTCATATTGATATCTCACTTCGTTACCCCAGTCAACAGATGATAAGTGTTCTCTAAGCCCATCGTAATCTGCTAAGCGAAAATCTGGGACTGTTACTGAGTTATCGCTACTATCGTACTTCCATTCAATGCTAAATGTAATTGATTTGTGGTCGCTAGCACCCAGTTCCTCTGAAATTTCTAAATTATTAACAAGGGATTCATTGTTTGCCATAACTAAGTCAAGCAGGTTATTTCCCCTTGTAGGTTCTGTCACAAACTGCTTCAAAAAACAATCCTGAATTACTTTTAAGAAGTCGTATGATTCTAAATTCCCAGTCAAAAAATTCCAATCAATATGACTAAAGTTAAAGTCTCCTAGAATTACTCCATTATCGTGCCTTGTGGCCTTAACAATTTCCTCCCATAGTAGTCTCCCTTGGTCCCTATCTAAGTTTGGGGGACGGTATATCACTCCTAAAATCAGTTTTTCATGCCCCTCTGAAAATTCTGTCCAAACAGACTCTGTATGTGTTACTTCAGACTTAATACCTGTTTTTATGCAACAGTTCAAGCGATCTCGGACATACAATGCCACCCCACCCCCCTTCCCGATACTTCTATCTACTTGGAACAATTTAAAACCCTGAATATGACATTCCGCAGGCATGTCCCGACTTTTTGAATTAAACCACGTCTCAGTTAAGGCAAATACATCAATGTTACCTGCACTAGCAACTAATCTCAACTCGTCCATCTTATTCCTAGCACTACGGCAATTAGCATAATAAACATTGAAAGACTCTCCTTTCTCTTTATCCTTCCTGCTCATTTCTGTTTTTCTACTAAACCTATTACTGTCCTTATCACCCAAAGTCCCTGGCTTTTCAATATCTACCTCGTTCTGCTTATTACTAGTTCCCCTAGAACTCGTAATATTACTACACTGGGACTTCACTGTTTTCCTGCCAAAACCCATACCACTAACTATTCCTAGCTTAAAGTCCTAACTGCTCCCTCCACTGCAGTTGCCAGTGCTACCACCCCAGACCTAGATAAGTGAACCCCATCCCTGGCATACATGTCATTTCTGCCATAGAAGACGTCCCAGTTGTCAATGAATGTTACCGCATTTTCCTTACAGTATTTGTCCAGCCAGCAATTGACACCAATTGCCCTGGACAACCATTCATTTCCAACTCCTCTCCTTGGCAAAATACCACATATGACAGGGTTCCCACCCTTACTCCTAATTATTTCTATTGCTGACTTGTACCTGCTAATCAGGTCTTCACTCCTACGTCTGCCAACATCGTTGCTTCCAGCACTGAGACAGATAATAGGATTGCTCCCATTACCTCTCATGAAGTCATCCAGACGGCTAACAATATCCTCCATCCCAGCCCCAGGAAAGCAAACTCTGTCTCCTTCTCCTGTCCTTCAAGCAGAACGCCCTATCCATATACCTAACTTGGCTATCCCCAACAACAACAATATTCTTACCTTCCTTGGTGTCATTCGTCGTGATGTTCCCAGTAGTCGACTCACACTCGTCGGGTAGCACTGAGAATGTATTAGATGTTTCCACAACAGTTTCCACGGCAGTCTCTTTCTTCTTCATCGTTTCTACCTTTCCATTCGTCTTCTTGATCGTCAACTTCGTTCCCTGCTGTCCAGCCACTGACCAGTTTCCCTTCTTGACCTGAGGACTCAAAACAGGAGGACTACTACGAATCTTCTTGTTTTCCTCGGTCAGTCGCCAAATCTCGAATCTTCTTGTTTTCCTCGGTCAGTCGCCGAATCTCCACCTTCGCCAACCTCAATTCTTCCTTAAGCTGTTGGCAAAGTTGCTCGATGGAGGGCATCGTGCTTCAATTCGTAGAGAGCGCGCAAACAGGTCTTCACAGAGCTAAGTACACGTCAACACTGCGCAAATGCCAACTCAATCAGGAGCTACTGCGCAGCACGTCCGCACGGCCCAATAGCGATGCGAACAGTAATTAGCAAGGCTCCATAAGGATAGGTGTGTATTAGGGACCAGTACTGTTCCTGGTTTGTGAGACATCCCAGATGAATTTGAATCAGATGTATTCCTGTTTGCTGATATTAAACTGATGACGACAAGAAGAGGCTCCAAATGGACCTGGACAAACTGCACGATTAGAGAAATGATTGCTCGACTTCATCCCCAGAAAATGCAAGTTAGTGAAGATTGGGGAAGGAGCAGAAGACCAGACAAGGGGTTCAGACTGGGGACAGAGGCTAGTGCCTAGTACATGTATATCACCAGAAGCTCACATCAGCCAAATAATTTCTGCTTCCCTTTATACAACATTTCAGGGCCACGGTGGAGTATGCAATACCAGCATGGAACCTGCACCTGAAAAACATATTAAGTAACTGGAAAAAGTGCAGAGGTATGCAGTGAGGCTTGTTCCAGAGCTAAGGGGGTATGACTTATGAGGAGACGCCAAAGGAATTGAATCTAACAACATTGGAGGACTGAAGAATCATGGGAAGTGTAATAAACACAAAATAGGAAAAAGCATGTTTCATAGGTGGGGAACAAGATACTCAGGGACAGACCTTGAAGTTGCAGATGAGCTATAGGGATGTCAGGAACTATTTCTTCAGTCTCAAGGGTGGTTGGGAAATGGAATGATTCTGAAGTGTTGGAGGCAGGTATAATAGGTCCCCCAAGACTAGGAGGAAGTGAATCTCGCATGTGGCAAGTTGAAAGGCAGGGCCGTGAGCTGAGACTTGACCCTTAAAACCACAAATAGGCGAGTACATATACATACAGTATATATACTGAATAGTGAACTTTGCTCAATACTTGTATACTAAAATTTTACTTTAAACAGTAAAATTCTTTCATTTTCCATCAGGCTGGTCAGGAAGTTCCTGAATGGTTGATGACAGCTGCTCATAGAAGTGAATATTCACAAACATATTATGGAACAAGTCGTTTTCCAGTCCAGGACATCAGGTCATTTGTAAGTACAGTAGTTTCATTGTTACTGTGCTTGGTAAATACCAGTCAGTGTGGGTGGTGTCATTTAGGCACATTCATGTAATGCATTTTCAAAAAATATATAACACGCCATAATCACAAGATACATTTCATTTTTTTTTTTCTTGACAAGTTGGCCGTCTCCCACCAAGGCAGGGTGACCCAAAAAGAGAGAAAATCCCCAAAAAGAAAATACTTTCATCATCATTCAACACTTTCACCTCACTCACACATAATCCCTGTTTTTGCATAGGTGCTCAGAATACAACAGTTTAGAAGTACATGTATATACGTATAAAAAATACACAATATATCCCTCCAAACTGCCAATATCCCAAACCCCTCCTTTAAAGTGCAGGCAATAAAAACTTCCCTACCTTTATCTAAATACCATTTGCATATATGCTTCAATGTAAACACTTGATCTACACATCCCCTACACACTCTGAAACCTCCTTGCTCATCCACAATCCTACATTCTGTCTTACCTCTAATTCTTTCAATTATAACCCTACTGTACACTTTTCCTGGTATACTCAGTAAATTTATTCCTCTGTAATTTTTACATTCACTTTTGTCCCCCTTCCCTTTATATAAAGAGACTATACATGCTCTCTGCCAATCCCTAGGTACCTTCCCCTCTTTCATACATTTATTAAACAAAAATACCAACCAATCCAACATTATATCCCCCCTTGCTTTTAACATTTCTGTCATGATCCCATCAGTTCCAGCTACTTTACCCCTTTCATTCTACGTAATGCCTCATGTACCTCCCCCACACTCGCATCCTGTTCTTCTTCACTCCTAAAAGATGGTATACCTCCCTGACCATTGCATGAAATTACCGCTTCCCTTTCCTAGTCAACATTAAAAAGTTACTCAAAATATTCTCACCATTTACCCAAAACCTCCATCTCCCAATCTACTAACTCCCCTACTCTGTTTTTATCTGACAAATCAATTTGTTCTCTAGGCTTTCTTAACTTTTTTAACTCCAAAATATTTTCTTATTTTCAATAAAATTCTTTGAAAGTGCCTCTCCCACTATCATCTGCTCTCCTTTTGCACACACTCACCACTCTCTTCACTTTTCTTTTACTTTCCATATACTCTACTCTTCTTTTAACACTTCTGCTTTGTAAAAATCTCTCATAAGCTAACTTTTTCTCTTTTATCACACCCTTTACTTCATCATTCCACCAATTACTCCTCTTTCCCCCTGCACCCACCCTCCTTTAACCACAAACTTCTGCCCCACATTCTAATACTGCATTTTTGAAACTATTCCAACCCTCTTCAACCCCCCTACTCCTCATACTTGCACCAGCCCACCTTTCTGCCAAAAGTTGCTAATATCTTTCCAGAACTTCCTCCTCCCTTAGCTTATACACTTTCATCTCCCTCTTAGTTGTTGATGCCATTTTCCTCTTTTCCCATCTTCCTCTTACTCTAACTGTAACTACAACTAAATAATGATCCGATATATCTGTTGCCCCTCTATAAACATGTCCATCCTGGAGCCTACCCATCAACCTTTCATCCACCAATACATAATCTAACAAACTGCTTTCATTAGGTGCTATATGTCCTGGCTTTCAGTGAAACGAAGCTGAAAAGGGCGGGAGAGTTTCAATGGAGAGGAATAAATGGGATTAGGTCAGGGGTTTCAAATAGTTAGAGCTAAAGAAGGAGTAGCAATAATGTTGAAGGATAAGTTATGGCAGGAAAAGAGGGACTATAAATGTATTAATTCAAGGATTATGTGGAGTAAAATAAAGATTGGATGTGAAAAGTGGGTTATAGTAAGGGTGTATGCACCTGGAGAAGAAAGAAGTGTAGAGGAGAGAGAGAGATTTTGGGAAATGTTGAGTGAATGCGTGGGGAGTTTTGAATCAAGTGTGAGAGTAATGGTGGTTGGGGATTTCAATGCTAAAGTGGGTAAAAATGTTATGGAGGGAGTAGTAGGTAAATTTGGGGTGCCAGGAGTAAATGTAAATGGGGAGCCTTTAACTGAGCTATATGTAGAAAGAGATTTGGTAATAAGTAATACATATTTTATGAAAGAGGATAAATAAATATACAAGGTATGATGTAGCACATAATGAAAGTAGTTTGTTAGATTATGTATTGGTGGATAAAAGGTTGATGGGTAGGCTCCAGGATGTACATGTTTATAGAGGGGCAACTGGTATATCGGATCATTATTTAGTTGTAGCTACAGTTAGAGTAAGAGGTAGATGGGAAAAGAGGAAGGTGGCAACAAGTAAGAGGGAGGTGAAAGTGTATAAACTAAGGGAGGAGGAAGTTCGGGGGAGATATAAGCGACTGTTGGCAGAAAGGTGGGCTACTGCAAAGATGAGTAGTTGGGGGGTTGAAGAGGGTTGGAATAGTTTTAAAAATGCAGTATTAGAATGTGGGGCAGAAGTTTGTAGTTATAGGAGGGTGGGGGCAGGTGGAAAGAGGAGTGATTGGTGGAATGATGAAGTAAAGGGTGTGATAAAAGAGAAAAAGTTAGCTTATGAGAGGTTTTTACAAAGCAGAAGTGTTATAAGAAAAGCAGAGGATATGGACAGTAAAAGAAAGGTGAAGAGAGTGGAGAGAGAGTGCAAAAGGAGAGCAGATGATAGAGTGGGAGAGGCACTGTCAAGAAATTTTAATGAAAATAAGAAAAAAATTTGGAGTGAGTTAAACAAGTTAAGAAAGCCTAGGGAAAGTATGGATTTGTCAGTTAAAAACAGAGTAGGGGAGTTAGTAGATGGGGAGAGGGAGGTATATATATATGTTGAGGAAGAAAGGGAGGTGGTAATTTCATGCACTGGTCAGGGAGGTATACCATCTTTTAGGAGTGAAGAAGAGCAGAATGTAAGTGTGGGGGAGGTACGTGAGGCATTACGTAGAATGAAAGGGGGGTAAAGCAGCTGGAACTGATGGGATGATGACAGAAATGTTAAAAGCAGGGGGGATAGTGTTGGAGTGGTTGGTACTTCTGTTTAATAAATGTATGAAAGAGGGGAAGGTACCTAGGGATTGGCGGAGAGCATGTATAGTCCCTTTATATAAAGGGAAAGGGGACAAAAGAGATTGTAAAAATTATAGAGGAATAAGTTTATTGAGTATACCAGGAAAAGTGTATGGTAGGGTTATAATTGAAAGTATTAGAGGTAAGACAGAATGTAGGATTGCGGATGAGCAGGGAGGTTTCAGAGTGGGTAGGGGATGTGTAGATCAAGTGTTTACATTGAAGCATATATGTGAACAGTATTTAGATAAAGGTAGGGAAGTTTTTATTGCATTTATGGATTTAGAAAAGGCATATGATAGTGGATAGGGGAGCAATGTGGCAGATGTTTAATATTTTTATTTTAGCATGATACTGTACATGTTTGTACAGAGAAGTGTAACAATTGGGTGAATATGCCCAATGCTCCTTTATATGCAGAGCATTTTGTTCAAACTTAAGACTAACTAGATACTTTGTATAGTGGAGTGTGCTCTTAAGTATATTAAGGACAGCTCTCTGTTTTCCTGTATTTTCCAGGATTATTCTATGAAACCGGAGGGTAAAGCACTTATGGAGTCCTGTGGTGGACCAGCTCAGTCTCCCAAGCTTTTAGATGATGAAATTTGGGATGAGTGATGTACAGCATATAATATATACATAGACCTCTTAGTGTGTTGAACTGATCATGTAATTGAGTCTACTCATTTTAACAATGCTACTTCCTGCTTTTACTGCAGAAAATTCTAGATGTGCTGCATATAGTAGGTCAGTGGTAACTATGTTCCTGTATCTACCCATATTCTTGTTGCCTTTAGGCAACATATTGTCTACCAAATTCTTGCAAATTTTTCATTTATCTAACCCATATTAATAAGGTTGCATTTTTCTATTGATTTGCATGTAGGTTTTTCTTGAATAATTCTTTACTTAATATTTTAGTTTGAATATCAGCAATGAATATTGCATTTTTTTTTTTTAACACTTACCATCTTCCGCCAAGGCAGGGTGACCCAAAAAAGAAACAATTTCACATTAACTGCAAAATGTCAAGTCTCATAAATTAATGACACTATTTTCAAAAATATGCTGGGTGTGTAATGTTGATCTTTTAGTTAAAAATAGTAATTCCACTTTAACTGATTTCTGGCTTAAGATAGTTTCTGATAAACACAGTATTAAAGATAGACTTGTAAATGAACTGAACCTGTTTGTTATATTGAACTGTAGTATCAGCACCCCTCTGGCAAGACCATATGCTTTTTTAGACCACCCTGCCTCTGTGGGAGATGAATAGTGTGGTTTGTTAAAAAAAAAATATATATATATTGTAATTAATAATTAAAATGTTAATGAATGTCATGAGAATTAATATGGAGATCCTGGGAGTGCAAAACCCATAAGGATACAGTGTCTGAATGTCATGAGAAGAAAGGATATTAAGTGCTGTTGCAGTTTTCATTAAAATACTATCATATTTTTACATGTATGATTAGTTAATTATAGGAACAAATACACATTTTCAAGATTAAAAAGTTGAAAAGCAAGAAGCTTTTTATTTCTTCTGCCCTAAAGTTGATCTGTAATGGATCCTTACTATACTTTATTCTTATCTGCTACCATTCCTAGTGGCCTTGTTCAGGGACAGCTTTGGGTTTACAAAAGCGCTAAAATATATGGGACCACTCATCAGTCCTGTTCCAATGTAGCTTTTATAGGTAATGCTACAATGATCATGTTACTCCAGCCAAAGGAAACTTGATAGTGTCAGGGAAACACTGGGTAATGGTCACAAAACAGTATAAGGTAAGCAAGTAATTATTATATTTACAGGAAAGTGCTAAACCATAAGATCATACAGCACCTGGAGAACGGGAGGCAGTCATGTTTGATCCAAGGAAGGAGAGGAATGACGGTCAAGCTTTTTGATGAAGCTGATGTATGAATATTAATACTACTTTATGATTTCTTATTGATTCATAATTTAATGGAATTAGTAAGTCATTCAAGCAAATAATCAGTAAATTTGCTGTAAAATTATTATGTAGAGTTCATTTTAATTTGCTTCAAACCAGGAAAGCTGTTCTTTACATATGCATCATTACTGGAACCATTAAAATTAACTGAAAAACTATTATTTAAGAAGTGCTAAACCTGTAGGAGTCATATAACACCTAAGGGAATGGGAGACAATCATGTTCGATCCAGTGAAAAAGGGATTGCTGCTTCACTGTAAGGCTTTTCCAAGACATCAGTTTAAACTCAAAATTTCTGTTATGGTTTTATCTTTAAATTCCTCTCGCATATAAAAACACATTGTGATTCCATTGATACATTAGTTACATTTCAGTGACTTAAAAGCAAGCTCTGGAAATTCTTCTCTAAACTTTCATAAAGTTCTAGGCAACTTAATGAATATAAATTTGTGAATCTGATAATCCAGTTAAGTAGTGTCCTGTTTCTGCTGTGTATCATTAGCAATCTGTAGGTAGTAGTAAGGGAGGGACCACCTGAAGTACATACTATTTTCACTGCCCAAATTTCTAGCAAAGGAATTTCTCAGTGATGATCATTGTTGGAAATTCAAACAACAGAATGCCTTGCACAGCTTATTACATTAATGTGAATCCTACTTACCTGGATCTGGGTAAAAAATTTAGTTAATACATTTTAATAGTTTTCATCTTACCTCTCACAGTGGTATATCATTTTACCCAGTGTGAGGGTGGAAGCTGATGCTGCAGATCCACTTCTGTGTATTCCAAAGATTAATTTTAAAGTATATATATATCAAACACTCCTGTCTAACAAGCTTCAAATCTGAACTCCTCTCATACCAGGTTTAAATTCACACACTCAGGTTTGGGGGTGTATCCCTGGTACAGGTGAAAACATTAAAATGTGTTTCCATAAGACACCTACTGTCCTTGTTCACTTGTCAGTAAAAATAGGTACTTGGGTGTTGGTTAACTGGTGTGGGTCGCATCCTGGGACAAAATTTACTTAATTTGCCCAAAATGCTTTGCATAAGAAGGGTCTCTGTATATAGTAGTATGTCATTGAGGTCAGCTATGCCTGTATACCTTGTTCATGTACTTGAAGAAATAAAGATGATTCTTCTTCTTTCAACACACCGGCCGTATCCCACCGAGGCAGGGTTTACCTGGAGAGAGTTCCGGGGGTCAACGCCCCCGCGGCCCGGTCTGTGACCAGGCCTCCTGGTGGATCAGAGCCTGATCAACCAGGCTGTTGCTGCTGGCTGCACGCAAACCAACGTATGAGCCACAGCCCGGCTGGTCAGGAACTGACTTTAGGTGCTTGTCCAGTGCCAGCTTGAAGACTGCCAGGGGTCTGTTGGTAATCCCCCTTATGTATGCTGGGAGGCAGTTGAACAGTCTCAGGTCCCTGACACTTATTGTATGGTCTCTTAACGTGCTAGTGACACCCCTGCTTTTCATTGGTGGGATGTTGCATCGTCTGCCAAGTCTTTTGCTTTCGTAGCAAGTGATTTTCGTGTGCAAGTTCGGTACTAGTCCCTCTAGGATTTTCCAGGTGTATATAATCATGTATCTCTCCCGCCTGCGTTCCAGGGAATACAGGTTTAGGAACCTCAAGCACTCCCAGTAATTGAGGCGTTTTATCTCTTGTTATGCGCGCCGTGAAGGTTCTCTGTACATTTTCTAGGTCAGCAATTTCACCTGCCCAAAAGGAAAAAACGAAAGTTTCTCCTTTTACATTTAGTAATATGTACAGGAGAAGGGGTTACTAGCCCTTGCTCCTGGCATTTAGTCGCCTCTTACAACACGCATGGCTTATGGAGGAAGAATTCTGTTCCACTTCCCCATGGAAGTAAGAGGAAATAAACAAGAACAAGAACTAGAAAGAAAATAAAAAACCCAGAGAGGTGTGTGTATATATATTGCTTGTACATGTATGTTTAGTGTGACCCAAGTGTAAGTAGAAGTAAACAAGACGTACCTGAAATCTTGCATGTGTATGAGACCAGAAAAAAAAGACATCAGCAATCCTACCCTCGTGTAAAACAATTACAGGCTTCCCTTTTACACTCGCTTGGCAGGACGGTTTGTACCTCCCTGGGTTTGTTGCTGTCTACCAATCTACTACCTAGGATAAAGTAATGATTATTATTTTTTATTATAGCAAGCTAATTGCAGAATGTTATTAGTTCCTTTATGCTGGTAAGAGGTTCTTGATCCAGGGAACTTTGGGCCTGACCTTTTATTGAATCTAAGTGCCTCCTATTCCCTCAGGTACGTACGACCCCTAAAATTTAGTATTCCCCTCATAAATGACAGTGGACCCTCGACAATGATAATTAACCTGTTCCGAGAGCTTGTCTTAGCCGAATATATCGTTAGCTGAATTAATTTTCCCATTTAATCCATTCCAGACAGCCAAAAGTATTAATTTTTTTTTTTTTCATGAAATATACATTTCCCCACAAAGAAAACAATGAGACATGTACAAAAAACTAATAAATAAATGTTAAATGACACTTACCTTCATTGAAGAGTACTGATGAGTGATGAGAAATTTTTTTTGAACACTGGGGTTTTCGAGTGTTACAGAGTAAAAGGGTTCACTTTGCAATCCCCACTACATTACAAAAAAACATGAAATTGCCTGTTTTTTCATGGCTTGTTCCCGGGAATGCATTCCCCCTGAGTAATGAGGTCCTGTTTGGATTTTCTTCCCAAAAAGTTTGTTTCGTCATAATTGAACACTTGTTGGGGTTGGAATTTTTCAGCTTCGCCATGCGTTATTACCCCTTGTGTATGCCACTACGATTCTTAAGTCCTCAAACCAACCTTTGCTGGCCTGAAATTCCAGGCATTTTTTCCTGTTCATCTGGGTGTTAGTCGACTGGTTTTGGGTACATCCTGGGGGAACAAGATTAAATACCCCAATAGATATAAGTTAGACAGTCCTCGATGACGCACTGACTTTCTTGGGTTATCCTGGGTGGCTAACCTTCTGGGGTTAATTGTTTCTCGTTAAGCCACACCAACAACACACACTCCACATCTTCGAGTAGTACAGCTGATGGTGGCGGAGCAGCAGCTGACCATGGTACAACAGCAGCTGATGGTGATACAGCAGCAAACGGTGGTGCAGCAGCAGCTGATGGTGGTGCAGCAGCAGCTGACGGTGGTGCAACAGCTGATGGTGGTGCAGCAATAGCTGACTGTGGTACATCAGCAGCTGACGGTGTAGTAACAGCTGACGGTGGTACAGCAGCAGCTGACGGTGGTACAGCAGCAGCTGACGGTGGTACAGCAGCAGCTGACGGTGGTACAGCAGCAGCTGACGGTGGTACAGCAGCAGCTGACGGTGTACAGCAGCAGCGAGGGTTTGGTACAGCAGCAGTTGAGGTGGTGCGGGCAGCAGCTGACCATGGTACAGTAGAAATTTCGATAGTATTTCTCGCCCTTTTTACCACAGAGTTGGCACTAGAAGCTTTCTTTGGGCCCATGGTGGCTTATTTAGCAGTTCTTTCTTTTTTCGACACACCGGCCGTATCCCACCAAGGTAGGGTGGCCCAAAAAGAAAAACGAAAGTTTCTCTTAAATTTAGTCATTTATACGGGAAAGGGTGTAAATAGCCCCTTGCTCCCTGCATTTTAGTCGCCTCTTACAACACGCATGGCTTACGGTGGGGAAAAACTCTGTTCCACTTCCCCATGGAGAAAGAGGAAATAAACAAGAACTAGAAAGAAAATAGAAGAATACCTAGAGGGGTGTGTATATATATGCTTGTACATGTACATGTATGTGTAGTGTGACCTAAGTGCAAGTAGAAGTAACAAGACATACCTGAAATCTTGCATGTTTATGAGACAGACAAAAGACACCAGCAATCCTACCATCATGTAAAACAATTACAGGTTTTCGTTGTACACTCACTTGGCAGGACGGTAGTACCTCCCTGGGCGGTTGCTGTTTACCAACCTACTACCTAGGTTATTTAGCAGTTACAAGCACTAAAAAAAAAAAATGGAATAATACAAAATGTATTGCATATGTGCGTGGAACCGTCCGCCCTGGCTTGTAAACAATGGCACACTAGCTGAAGGCAGGGCAGCTGAGGCACTCAGGTTGGACAGACAGGCCAACGTGTTCGGGAAGAATGTTGTTACCCGAGTTTTTCACCGTTGGTCGAGCCAATATTTTTACGCAGAAACGCATTGTTAGGCGATTTTATCGTTAGATGATGCCAGCGTTGGTCGAGGGTCCACTATAATAATAATCTTCAGATGTGTTGTTGCAAATCCTCACACATGTCCTCTGCAGCCACACTTGTCATCCCTTGGACCTCGAATGAACATTAAAAATGTGTTCCCTTGTGGTTCCTCTGTACTCATTAAATTTGTTTGAAATGTATGGGGCCACTACCATTACAATTGAAATACTGGTTCCTAACTTACAAACAAGCGATAATGGACACAACATACACTGTACCTGCCACTACCTCTGAGCAATCTGGAAACAATTATGAAAGTTGGCAGGCAAGTACTCTCCAGACACTGCTCCTGTTCTTAAGGTGCCATTCAACTGGGTATCAGTGTTTTTGTTTAAAGGGCTACATTTATATCCCTGTTCTAAAGTCCGAACCCACATGGTAACCCACACAACTGGACTTTAAGGCTCACATTGTGGAACTTTGTATTTTCCACTTCATGCTTCACAAACAAACTTGTGCATCATTATTATTCAACAGCATTAGTTTTTCTCTTAACACCAACACCTTTTCAATTGTGTTTGGTCCAAAGGGGTTATACTTCACTGAAAAACTGCATTAGTCCTACCTTTTTTGAAAGAAAGTACCTCATTATAGAACCATCACTTACCAGCACTCTTTGTTAGTTGGAATGCTTGGTTAGCAACATCGACCACTTAATTTGCTTTTGTATATGCATCAATGACTTCACTAATAACAAATCAGTTATTGCAGTCCTTTGTGATGTACTGTAGGAAAAAGCTTCCAGCACTACTTGGCATTACATATGTATATATTAAAGTTCCTGATTATGTGGTCCACATCCCATCTTTGCCCTCTTAGGTACGTTGTATTTTTCTTCCTCAGTCTTAAAATGGTGTATGTCAAATAAACTTACCCACACGAGACAGATGTAGAATCATCGAGTTTAGGTTTTCCTACTAGCCTTCAACATGGAAGGCATTTGAGCTACCCAGCCTTCCTCAGAAGAAACCAGAATTCCAAGGCAGTGTATGACACCTACAGGTTTAGCACTTTCACCAATTAATGTAAGCATGATTATAATCCAACCTTTCAATGATAAGGCATTTTTATTGCTGGTAAAAAGCATCAAACTAGTTAAGAAGCTTACTAACAGCAGCCTGTAGTGTGGTCAGAGATGGAGAAATGACAGGTGTAGAGCAAGGTTTTATTGTAATGAACCCCCAAAACCGGTGCCCTAGATGCCATGTGGGGCTCTTCATCCAAGGAATTTGACTTCCTTTCATCCCATGGATTGAACTTGACTGCCTCCAAAACTTTCTCTGCACCTGTCTCTATTTTGAGCAATACACCTTTGTATCCATTGTCAGAGCCTGATCATAAGCAGCTCACACAAGAGTGCACCAGCAGCCACCAGCATTCCTCCAACTAATACTACAAATACTCCCTGAAAAAATACAATCAATGAAGGCCTTGGTGGAGATAGTTACATTTTTGACTTAAGGTGATCAAAGGTTATATTTTCATCATTTGTCTTTAATTTAGTGTTTATTATTTCATAATTTATTATATGTTTATAACAATATACCATGGGTTTACAACTTTGTTATGGTTATAATGATAATATAACTATATACTTACTGCAGTTATTGTAAAAATAAAAATCTTTAAAATCAACTATATGTAAACTCAATAAAGCTTATCCTATCCTAAGGTTGATATTGGGAGTAGAAGTGTCTTTTCCTTCCATGGATGATTATTCTTTTACACTAAACCACTACCCCTTACACATCCCTACTATTTGCATGCCCCTCCCCACAACACTATACATATTATCAATGCCAATTTAGTGCATAAAATGAACTTTATATTCCCTTCGATGAAACCTGAATGCCTCCCTTTCCACAGATGCTGCATGACCCTTATGAGTTTAGTACTTCCCCATGACTAGTAATTTCATCATATGAGGGGAAAAGTGTGGAAGTGGCAAGGGAAAAGGAGACAGTAAAAGGTGGTGGTGAAAATAAGTGATAGGGAAAAAGGAGTATGTGGCAGTGACCCTCTTCAAAGAAGGTTCCCTTATGCTGGTAAAGGGTTCTTTGATTCAAGGAATTTTAGTGAGATTATTCAGGTATACATACACATGGAGAAGTGGAACAGAATTCTTCCTCTGTCAGCCATGCATGTTGTAAGAGGTGACTAAAATGCCAGAAGCAAGGGGCTAGTAACCCCTTTTCCTGTATAAAGTAGGGCCCCACTTTATGGCGTTTTGCTAATGCAGACATTTCAAATTACATATGACCAAAACTTGCTATATGACTCCCCTCACCTGACTTTTTAATATGGTCACTTCGCCCCAACCGGTTTGTTTACATTCTCCGCGAATTCTGCGTTTCTCCATTATGTCTGGAAACTTTCCAAAATTTCAAGTGTTTTAAAGTTATTTCATATTTTATATATACTACTATGATAATTATACTTTGTGTACTTGTACCTAAGCCAAGCGACTTATAGGAGTGACGGCAAGAATTATGTTTTCTCTAGTCCAACATCAGAGTATAGTATTACTGAGGGTAACTAGAAAATTATTCCTTTTATCTGCTTTCACTCAGTGCCATTTCTTCTAAATATAGTGTTTGCATGAGAATGGGAGTGTTGCTCTTGTACACAATATAGTGTTTGTATTATGGTACAATACAAACGTATGAACGAAAACCAGACGCTTTCGCCTGGTTTGTTTACACAACTCCACGTCTGTCCCCTCTCTTGTACTCATTCTCTCATTCATTTTTTCTCGTTTACTCACCTCTGACCCTACATTAACCCTTTCAGGGTTCCCAGGTCCTCTCCCAGACTTGTTCTCAGGGTCGCCCAAATTTATAAAAAAAAATTTTTTTTTTTCTTATGAAAAGATAGATAATCTTTTCCCGATCATAAGATTAGATTAGATTTTGCCACCGAAGTGGCTAGTTTATTGTGCACCCCATATCCATCCTGTGGACGGTAGCGCGAGAGCATATGGATACACAAAAGGCCTAGGAACTAGGCCCCAAAGGGTTAACAGGAATACATATGGATTTATATCTACATATCTATAGTTCACTTATCTGTTACAAGCAAATTTAGGAAATTTGCTTAGTATATCTGGTATCTTATTTTCATTAATAAGATATCTTGACATGTCACATAGGTTATTATACTGTCTGTCTCTGTATTCCTCAATAAGTGGACAATTAAGCACATAGTGTTCAAGAGAGTGACCATATGCCTGATCACATAATTTACATTTAGTTTGATCATCATCTGTGTGTCTCCCAAACTGCCAGAAGTACTTGTAACCAAGCCTAAGCCTGGCCACTACAACATCAGTCAGTCTGTTCACATTGCAAGTTGCTCCATAAACATACTTATCTACGTTCATGTTATCATAGTGGGTTATAGATCTACTCAGGCTTCTAACTGCATTCCTATAACAATCATAATGACACCAAAAGTATGAAATTTGATGAAAAACTTATGGAATTATGCTCTTGCGAAGTTAGCGGTCTCGAGGATGTTTACGCATCGGCGATTTTGCCTACTTTGAGCCCTATTTTCGGCCAATTCCAGTATACTATTCGACAAAAATCATAACTATTTCGCTAGAACTCCATTTTTTTCTATCGAATGAGTGCAAGAAACCCATTTACTGATTTCGACTATCCAATACAGTGGTCAGAATTTAGCAATTTTGCCAATTTCACACAAATTTCAAAAGATGCCAATTTCCAAATAGGGTCCAGAATAAACAAGACATTCCTGGCACTAAAATAACATTTCCTCTGTTCATTAGTCACGTCCCCAGGCCCCTCTTACATTCTTTTGCTTTCCACTTTGAATTTTTATTCTCACAAAAAATAGAAGATTTACTGTTATGCAGACTACTGCACTAGTGTAGAAATGGTATAAATAATATCAGCGCACTTGTGAAAGAATGTTAGACTCGCCGGTTGACGTGTATTGGACGCGTAGCATGATTTGTTTACTTTTGAACTTCGGCAAAAATCGAACATTTCTGCTACTTTGAGCTCAATTTCAAGGTACTTTTCATTGTAAAACCAATCAAAATCGTCTCAATTTCTGTAATATGTCTTCCATTCTATAAAATGAGGCCAGGAAAACTAGAATAACATCATAAATACCATACGAAAATACAGTGCAAATTTGCCGTTTTAAACCAAAAACAGTCAAAGGTTTTTTCTCATTACGCACTATGTGCTCCTGGATTTTTTTTATACTGTGCACATGAGGAAATTAAAACTTCATCAGAGTACAAAACAAATTCCTTCCACAAAATACAGCGAAAATCCAACGTCAAAGACCTGGGAGTGATCATGTCGGAGGATCTCGCCTTCAACAACCATAACATCGTATCAATCGCATCTGCTAGAAAAATGACAGGATGGATAATGAGAACCTTCAAAACTAGGGATGCCAAGCCCATGATGACACTTCAGGTCGCTTGTTCTATTTAGGCTGGAATATTGCTGCACACTAACAGCACCTTTCAAGGCAGGTGAAATTGCTGACCTAGAAAATGTAGAGAGAACGTTCACAGCGCGCATAACTGAGATAAAACACCTCAATTACTGGGAGCGCTTGAAGTTCCTGAACCTGTACTCCCTGGAATGCAGGCAGGAGAGATACATGATTATATACACCTGGAAAATCCTAGAGGGTTTAGTACCGAACTTGCACGTGAAAATCACTCGACTAAAGCAAAAGACTCGGCAGACAATGCAACATCCCCCCAATGAAAAGCAGGGGTGTCACTAGCACGCTAAGAGAGAATACAATAAGTGTCAGGGGCCCAAGACTGTTCAACTGCCTCCCAGCATACATAAGGGGGATTACCAATAGACCCCCGGCTGTCTTCAAGCAGGCACTGGACAAGCACCTAAAGTTGGTACCTGACCAGCCGAGCTGTAGCTCGGCTCGTACGTTGGATTGTGTGCAGCCAGCAGTAACAGCCTGGTTGATCAGGCTCTGATCCACCAACCCCTCAAGGAAGGTTCCTTGATGTTGGTGAGGGGCTCTTGATTTAGGGAATTGGATCTGTGCTCCAGTTCCCCGAATTAAGCCTGAATGCCTTCCACATCCCCACCCCAGGCACTATAATCCTCTGGGTTTAGAGCTTCCCCCTTGATTATAATAATAATTGATCCACCATGAGGCCTGGTCATAGACCGGGCCGCGGGGGCGTTGACCCCCGGAACTCTAGGTAACTAAACCGAACGAAACACCACTACAGCCTATTGATACAGTTGACAAGATAAATTACTTCTCAACCATCCGAGGTCATCACTCTTATGTTGATGACTTCGCTATTGCTTGTGCAGGCGTTGACTGTCACCTCATTACAGTTTCTCTCCAGCATGCGGTCAACCGTGTTTCGAACTGGGCCACCATGCATGGGTTTAAATTTTCCAGTACCAAAGCTGTATAGCCCTTGTGGCTTAGAGCTTCTTTTTTTATTATAATAATAATAATCCAGTACCAAAACTCGCCATACTACTTTCTCTAGATGCTCTGTCATCTCTAATCATCCTTTGTACCTCTATGGCTCCCGTATCCCTGAACGTGATAGTCAGGTTTCTAGGCCTTCTCTTTGACCGTAGGAGCTGTATAGCCCTTGTGGCTTAGCGCTTCTTTTTTGATTATAATAATAATTTGACCGTAGGTTATCCTGGAAACCTCGCATTACATCTCTGAAGGCAACTTGTCACAGCCGGCTGAACCTTCTTAAAACCCTTGCTCATCTATCATGGGGAGCTGATCGGCGAACTCTCCAACTCTCCTTCGCCTACATTCAGCCCTCATTTTATCGAAACTCAATTATGGTGACCAGATCTATTCAGTGGCCTCTCCTGCTACTCTCTCTAGCCTTAACCCCATCCATCACCAAGGATTACGTTTATGCCTTGGTGCTTTTCGCTCTTCCCCTGTTGAGAGCCTCTATGCAGAAGCGAATGTTCCATCCTTGTCTGATCACCGTGATGCCCATTGCCTTCGTTACTATGTATGCTCTCACGATCGCAATCCTTCCATTTATAGAATGGTCACTGATATTAGTAGACATTATTTGTTCACCGCCCCTGTTTGCTCCGTCCCTTCTCTCTTCGCCTACATTCGCTCGTCTTCCGTTCAGTTACCACCTTTATATCTTCACATAGCATCTCACTTTTCCCTACCCCCCTGGGAAGTTCCAGCTGTTCGGGTCTGTTCTTTCTCACTCCCTTGCTCGTAAGCCCAACTGCCTACGGTGGCTTCCCGCTCTTTTTCTTGACCACTTCTACTCTCATTCTCATGCCATCGCAGTGTACACAGATGGCTCTAAGTCTTCTGATGGCGTCGGATTCGCAGCGGTGTTTCCAGACAGCGTCGTGCGAGGGCATTTACTATCTTTGG